GGGAATCCTCTTCGATTGCTTTGTTAAGTTTTCGATTTCAGCTTGAAATAGGTTTGATTTACTTATAGCTTTCAAAGCTTCTGGCCCAGTAAGAGCTACAATGCGTCGGATGCCCTTTGAAATAGCTTCCTCACTGCTTATTACAAATCGACAATGTGGCCTGACCGCTTTAAGTGAGTTCCTCCGCAGAATTCTACAGAAGTTTTTTCTCCAGCATCCACGTTCTGGATTCTGTTCTAACCTTCTCAACAGGGATACCAAAGGATATAACTCTAACTGGATCTGGGTATACGTCATCGAAAACGGAGCGCAGCCCGCGGATGGTTTTGCAACATGCAATTTTGATTCTTTTGCATAGATGGGCACGTTCTGGTACACAAGATCCTTTGTTAACTGTTCAGGTTTTTTGCAATCTGTTCAGTAGTCATGGCAGATTTGCAGCTAAAATCAAATCTTAATTTTTCTGGCACTACTAAGGAACCCTTTTGATCGGTGTCTTTGCCCAGTACTTGTAAAAGGCTGTGGTGAGGCATGCGTAGCAGAATGATTTTCATGGTCAGCGATCGTTCTAATTGTGTCAATTTGTAAATTCACGTATTTCCAACAGCAAGGCAGCCTTCCACAATCCCAATATGAAGAATGTAACCGCCCCGGTTGTACACACAGTCTACCATAAATTCATTTTCTTCTTCATCCACTTTTACCAAACTCCTTGGTCATAAATTTGACCTCCACTTTCAGCATAGAAATTAGTTTTTATCTAAAACAATTCCAGCCTTTTGACCAGAATAAACCTTTTGTACGAATTCATTATTGTATCGTATAGCAACAATTTTTCCAGTACACGAATTAAATTTATATTCAGATTGAGGATCATCTGATACACTATCATATGAATATTTGAAGCTATCGTCAGTAACTGGAATTCCTTTATCCTTAAGTTGGGAAATGGCATGAACGTCGAGATTGATCTCGTCAACTTTGTTGGCACCTTTTCCCTGAGAAAGAATATAGGAATTGTGTTTTGCGGACTCATAGCCCTCCATATCAATTTGTAGACCTCTTTCCTCGGCCATTAACTGAGTTAAATCTACTGGAAAGCCATATGTGTCATACAAACGCCAAGTGACGTCACCTGGAATTATTTTTTTCATCTCCAGTTTGGCAACAGTCCTATTAAAGAGATTTCTACCTCTGGAAAGTGTCTTTAAGAATTGTTGCTCCTCCTCGTTTATAATGTCAACAATATGCTGAGGATCCTTTTTTACTTCAGGAAAAGCATCACCAAGTAAATCAATGACTGTAAAGACGAGAGTCGCGAAAAATCCTGGTTTTGCGTTTAATTTTTCTGTAGCATACCTAAAACATAAAAGCATATAAGTTATTTTATTTACATTTACTTACAAACAAGCGACAACAAATTTATATTATGTATTAGAATAAGTATAGATGTAGTATATTCTATTAATCTAGTGTACTAATTTTGACTTTCGGAAATAGTTAAAATTTTCCAAACGTGACTTACAGACTTATTTTTATACCATTTGCAAGTCAAATGGCAGAGAAATAGAATTTTTGGTTTTGGTACATAAGAAAACAAAATAGATTTTCATGAATGATTGAATCGTATTGTGTTTAAAGTTTTATTGAAAAACTGAAAAAATATGTATTCCAATTTACAAATCGTATGAATACAAATTCAATGCATACAAGATATAATATAACAATTAAAAGTAGTGGTGTAAAAGGTAGTTTTACATTCAAATTACAACACTCTCCCCTGAATGTAAACTCTTTTATTAAATTAAAGAAAATGTTATTTTGTTTTACAAAAGACCAAACCTATTTCTAAAATATTATAATTTTTGACATGGTAAAGCTTTTGTAAAAAACATCTGCCAACATTTCGTTAGTAGAAATGTACTCGAATGCTACTTCTTTTTCATCGATTTTTTGCCTTATAAATGATGCCTTTATGTCGACGTGTTTAGTTCTATTAGAATAATTATTGTTCATTGCCACATGTAATGCTCCTTTATCACAAAATATTTTCATGGTCTTCTTGGCGTCAGGACTTTATTTCCTTTTCTAATCGTTTTAGCCAGACTGATTCTTGTATAGCCGCTGTAATTGACATGAATTCTGCTTCAGTTGATGATAGCGCTACTGTCTTTTGCTTTTTAGTTGACCATGATATTGCTGCGGATTGATATACAAATATATATCCAGTTGTTGATTGCCGGTCATCAATATTACCAGCCCAGTCGGCATCACAGTAACCAGTAATTGTATTATCCAAATTTGGTTTGTATACTAGGCCTTTCTCAATTGTTCCTTTAAATATCGCATGACACGCTTCGCCGCTTCCCAATGAGCTCTCCCTGGATTAGTGCTATATCTACTTAGCATATTTACGGCATATGAAATAACAGGACGTGATACTTGTGCTGCAAATAATAAGCACCCAATAGCTTGCATATAGGGAACCTTCGACATTTCCTGTCTTTCCTCTTCGTTATTTGGGCTCATTGACATTGATAACTTCTGGTTAGAATCCATCGGAGTAGAAACTGGATTGCAATCGCTCATTCCAAAACGGTATAAGACATCATTGATATATTTTGTTTGATCTATTTTTATAATGTCCTGATTTCGACTTATTTTTATTCCAAGTATTGTAGACACCTCTCCCATATCTTTTATTTTAAATATTTTGGAAAGCTTCTTCTTCATATTTCTCAAAATCTTGCTATTGTTGCAGAATATGAGGACGTCATCAACGTAAATTGCGACATACAATTTATACCCATTCTTCAAGTCGTGGTATATACACTGATCGACTTCACTGCGTACAAGTCCCATTTTAATAAGTTCTGAATTTATCGTCTCATTCCAGACTCTTCCAGATTGCTTGAGACCGTATATTGACTTTTCCAGTTTACAAACTTTTTTCGTGCCATCAGAAAATCCTTCAGGTTGCTCCATATGAATCACCTCTTTGAAATTTCCGTTAAGATACGCGCTTACGGCATCCATTTGATGAATTTTCATACCATCTTTTGCGGCCAATGCAATTAAATATCTTATAGAGTCATACCTGATTACTGGCGAAAATGTTTCATTATAGTCAATACCCTCTCGTTGACTAAAACCTTTAGTCTTGCTTTCCATCTAATGTGGCTTTCGTTTTCATCACTCTTTGTCTTGAAAACCCACTTCGATTTTATAGCCTTTTCATCTGGTGGTAGTTTAGTCAAAATCCATGTATTATTCAGCTTCAATGATTCAATTTCATCTTCCATTGCACGTTTCCATTTATTAGCATTATCCGACGACATTGCTTCTTTATAACTTGTTAGATCATTTGAAACGAAATCAATGGCACAGAATGATGACGAATTTTGGTTTTGATTTGCAATACACTCTGATCTCCGAATTTGTGGTTCCTCCACACTTTCTTGCCTGTAGCTTCTGCTAGGAGTCCATGCACGATTTTGTGCGCTGACTTCACCGCTATTTGATGGCCAATCTGTTTCTAAATACACGCTGTCTGTATCGGATTTCTCAGCAGGGGTTTCATTCGGAGTTAGAGATTCTTCAGATGAATTTTGCATACTTGGATCATTAGCTATTACGGAAGGTGTTGATTCATTAAGATTGTCTTGATAATGGGATTCTCTCTCCCCTGAATCAGCGCTTTCGTTTTGCAATAATTCTGGATAATAAAAAGTCTTCATTTCTTGGCTCAGTTTTGTTGACTTTCCTGTTCTCCATAAATGTTACATCACGACAGATTATTATCTTGCTATCCTTGGGACTAAACAAGCGGTATGCCTTGCTTTCGGCACTATATCCCACCATTATGCATTCGGTTGACTTCGGATCTAACTTCGATCTTTTATCTTTCGGTATGTGTGCAAAAGCAGGACAGCCAAACACTCGAAGGTACGATAAATTTGATTTTCGACCGCTCCATATTTCTTCTGGACATTTCTTTTGTTGTCGACATGGCACTCGATTTATGAGATATGCTGCAGTAACTGCTGCTTCAGCCCAGAAACGATTATCTAAGCCACTATCGATGAGCATACAACGGACCCTTTCAATGATTGTGCGGTTCATACGCTCCGCTACACCATTTGCTCCGGGGTGTATGGACACGTCTTCTGATGTATAATGCCTTTTTCTTTGCATAACTTCTCAAATTGGCGATTAACGTATTCTCCACCATTGTCTGATCGGAAAATCTTTATTTTTTTTCCAGTCTGGTTTTCAGCCATATTCATAAATTCCACAAATTTTGAAAACACTTCAGTCTTACTTTTTATGAGATATGCCACAACTTTCCTAGAGAAATCATCAATGAAGGTTACAAGGAAACGTGTTCCAGAAAACGAGCACTGGTTCAACGGACCAACAACATCAGTGTGTATAATTTGCAAAAGTTCTGTAGCTCGTGTACCATCTTCTTTATTAGGTTTTCGGCATTGCTTTCCTTGTAGACAGATTGTGCATGTACCATCTTCTTTCTCCGAAAAATTTAATCCAAAGTTGGCTTCTTTAACATCTTTGAGTTTCGAATGGCAAATATGACCCATTCTGCGATGCCACAATTCAAATTACCTGAAACAGCAAATACTTTATCTTTCGAGTTTTCAGATTCACATTCTAATCTGTATAATTCATTGCGCATCTTTGCAAAGCTATAACTTTTCCTTGCTTGTTTCGGATTTTGCAGGAATCGCCCTCAAATATCACAGACTTGTCACCTTTTGTAATTTGCCGCACGGACAACAAATTTGTACAAAGATTTGGAACAAATTCAACGTCCTTGACAATTACATTCTTTGTCCCATCTTTACCAGAAACTTTCAGATCGATGTCGCCAATGCATTCAACTTGAAGTTCTTCCTTATTTGCAACGATGACTTTTTTGTTTTCTACATGCCGTTTGTTATACATCTTGCTATCATCATTTGTCATATGAACTCATATCGGACGTGGCTTTTGGGAAAGAAATTCCATCAATTGTGGCAAATAAAACTTCAGATTTCTTCACATGCTTGCCGTGTTCACTCTTACTTACATTGTTTCTTACAATTGTAGCACGTAATTTGCTTGTTGTTCTTTGAAAATTTAGCTTGAAAAGCTGAGTCTCTGCCATTAACGTTATCGAATTTCGCATCGTGTAGCAACAGATTTTTCACCATATCCACGGTTAGCTTCTGTTTGGAATTTTCAACGGCCATAACTAATGGTTTGAAATCATCGGTCAGTCCAGCTGGCATCAATGAGGCAGTCAACTCATCATCAATGTTTAATCCTGCATTCTTTACCTTTAATGCGATGATGACCAAGTCGTTCACATACTCCTGAATTGTTTTATAATTCTGCATCTTGATGTTGACTAATTGTTTCAATAATTCCACTTTCCGTGTAAGTCCTGTATCCTCATATGCATTAATCAAGGCAGTCCATGCATCTTTCGCTGTTGTAGCAGCCGCAATGTGACCATAATTGTTCGGATCTATCATTTCTGCCAGGGCTTTTTCATTCAGTTCGGTATCCGGCATTTCTTCCTTTACAGCTTTCCAGCAACCTTTTATCACCAATAACGATTTTGCTTGTCTTTTCCAGACATCAAAATTCTCGCGGCCCCGCAATTTCTCCATTGGGCACAATAATTGGTTGCTTGCCATAGTTTTCACTATTTTTTCAAAATTTGAATTTTTTTTTTTAATGTGTCTAGAGGCCCATAACCTATTGTGTTTAAAGTTTTATTGAAAACGCAGCGGAGGCAATCTTCTTTAGAAATATAAACAAATTTTCATTAGGTAAAATGAGCTTTAACACCCAGAAGAAAAAAATAAATGAACTCCAACAAAAGCTTGATTGTCTGGGTAGTAATTGCTTGTCTGCCTTGATCAAAAGTTCTGTGAACAGGCAATGTACTTTTTCTTTTTTTTCTAAATCCATACCAAATTATACCACAAAACCGCATTTTAAAAGTATGTTGTTAAAGACAATATGATTCTATATTACATTTCATTATAAATCCAGAAACTCGTCAAAAACGGCGCTTTACCGTTAGTTAAGCTTCGTGTTGGTCTCTTTTAGAGTTTTGCAAGAACATTGCCGTAAATTGTTGTTGTATGGATAAGAACAGGATACTGCATGAATATGTCCAAAACCAATGTTACTAATTAGATAACACGACTAATCCCGAAATAAACAGCGCATTCCTTCGAAAACAGAGTATATATGAATCGAAGACCAAGTAAAATTCGACACAAAAATATGCAAAGAATTACATACATCCCCATCTGTCGGTCTTTATTGTACAACATTTTTTTACGACG